GTTGATGCACACTTTCGAGCTATTAAAATCACTCATTCGCAGCGTGTTCACTCGTACTGGCTTCACCCGTTCCGTTGTGTTCCTTTACTTTTTTTGGTTATCTCTTTTTTTAACCCATCCCTATTCAAAATTGGTTAAAAGGGGACAACAATCGTTGGATCTACGGAGGTGAATGTACGGAATAATAGATTTGATATATTTTTCTTAATCTGTTCTATCGCTTAAAACTATCGGTCTATTTTGTTATCCATTTATCAAGCAGATCTGAAAGTCTTTAAGAAGAATATTTATCAAGAATATTAAATTCGGGATTCAATTCAAAACTTACAATTCCTTCCGGATGCCTTCCTAATGCTATTGAAATATTATGACGACCCGACAATAAGCACAGATACATATATATATATATTTTTTGGACAAAGTTGAAGGAGAAGGAGAAGTGTTTGTGTTTGTTGTAGTATTCGCTAGACTTACTTTTAGTTTGACTTACTTATGAAACTACGAATGGATACTAGGCTTGGGAACAGAGTATCTCTTTGCAGGCACTTTGGATTAGAGAACTCTGGCATTTTTTTCTTCTCACAATGCTGTATCCATTAAACGTCAAGTGCAAAGTGCAACAAAAGTGCTGCAGAAATGACGGTGTGCGTGTGTGTGTACTCGTATATATAATAAAAAGGCAAGTTTATAGCAAGAGCTTTACACAGAGATAGAAAGAGAGCAAGGGAGAGAAAGTTTTGAGGGAGGGAAACTCTAGAGATCTGGAGGGCTTTTGGTATAAGGCTTAAGGCGCTGCAGCTGCTGCTATTGACAATTGTAAAGAAATTTATGTTCGAGTGAACTTAACAAAAAGATGTGTAACTGCACACACTCACACACACATATATACACACGCCCACATGGTACACCCAGAAGGATGAGTACTTGGCTGTTGCTTTAGCTGACCTGATTGCTGTTTAGCTGATAAGCTCCCACATCCTCGCGCCCAGCTCGCACATGTGGCACAGACAGCCTGGCAGCCTTGGGGAAGCGGAGGCGTCACTTATCAAGTGATTTATGCTTGTAATTTACTAGTGCACTTTACACACACACACACACACACATACACATACAACAAGAGAGAGCTAGACAGACAGAGAGAGAGAGAGAGAGTGAGAGAGAGACAGCGTGGGAGTGAGAGAGAGAGAGAGAAGAAAGTCCCAAAAGTCTGCTATGGCAAATTGTCAAACAATGCAAAGCTTTTATTTAGAAAAGTCAAAGCACCGAACTACTACAGCCAGTGACCAGTGAGTCCCCATTCCAACCCCAATCGCAGCCTCAGTTCGCATCCCAACTCCCAGTTCCAGTCCCTAGGCAGGCCACATTACTATTACTGTCAAGTGACTCGCCGACGCTGCCCTTCGCCCTGGAAATGTTATTAACTGGCTCACGGATTCGGCTAAGGCTACCAACTTAATTAGCAGCAGAAGCCAAGCACAGCCAAGTTGTAATCGCTGTGCTCTAAACAGACAACAGAAGCAGGTTAACTAAAGTCACCGACATTAGAAAAACATGAGAGAAAGATAGCTGCAATTGGCAAGTTGTTGTTATAATTTTAAGCACTTAAAGAACATCGTCAATTGTTGGCTAATAATATAATTATATTTATAGATAGTGTCACTATTTTTTTTGTATACCATGAAAGATTGTGTAAAGAAGTTGTGCAAAAGCGCTTAACACTTAGAAGTATTTCCCAGCCCAGGTCAGCATCAACAATGGAGTCAATTTTTTGTATATCGTATAAAATAGCATATCATATCATATATAGACAGTGAAAATGATACTGCCAGAAAAATGCTCGATGAACGAATTAATAGTGTGTCGCGCATGATTGATAATTTTGTTAACTAAAACTGGAGACAGGTTTCTTGAAAGTCGATGATTTCAGTTTCTTTTTGCTAGCTCTTAAATGTGTGTAAATCGTGTTGGCAATAAATTTAGATATGTGTTTTAGTGGACTTAATACATTTAACTGCAACTCCTAAAGAACTTCATTAAAACGACTGACTTTGTTATATTTCGGCTAGTTCGAATCTTACGTTATTCACTATAATTCAAAGAAGATTCTAAAAATCTAGCTGAGCTTAATTTTTGGTTTTCACTCGTAGAACTTAAGGAATACTTTGCTGATTTTAATTGGGGCTTAATTGCAATTTCTTCTTTTCGTTAATTTGGCAGACTTCTTGTTACTAGATATCGTCTGCTCTTATTTTTAACGGTTTTGCTTAGTTATCTGCTGACTAGCATATCTCCAGGTGCTTCTCTCCCTTTTGCTCTGGCCTTCATTCAAATCACAAGTACCTGCATCTCCCCGCTCTACACCTCACTCTCCCCTGCACCAACTGCACTCGACACTCATCGTTCAACGTTCGCTTTGTGATCAAAAACTGTTTGCAAACTGTGGTGAGTGGTGGTGGGGATGTGGGTGCGGGTGCTGGTTCGGGTGCGGGTGCGGGTGCGGGTGTGGGTAGTTGTGTGCGGGCAGCGGCCCTTTTAATTAGCGCACTTCGCCACTCACTTTATCGGCTGCAGTGTGCACAGCAGCATGCGCATCAGGGTTGAGTCGATAGGGTGAAGGGGGAGAGATGAGGGGCAGCTGCAATATTTGCCTGTCAGTTGCCTTTTATCTCAATTTCGTTTCACCAAATTACAGTCGCTTTGTCACTGTGTCTACTCGCCTTCTCCAGTTGCGGTTATTCAAATATTTTATTTGTTCTCAAACCTACAAATGTATATACAGAAATTGGGTGCATTTGTTTCTTAAAAGTAATCCTCTTCGTGATCACATATTGGCATGTTAAATATCATGTGAACACATTTTATGATTTATATGACATATGTAATTGAAAAACTCTTTGAATACTGACTTTTTATGACATTAACTTTGCTTATTTATATTTGTTTGCCTTATGCAACGACAAATTTGGCCAAGAACTTAAAACTTGCCTTTGCCGCTTATTATGATTGGAGTTGTCATGAAAGTTGTAAAATGAAAACCGCCGTGAAAACTAGAAACTTTTCATTGTCTTTAAAAATAATCTTTAAATACACGAAAACAAATTCTTAAAATAAGGAACGCTTCTTTGTTTTTATCGAAAATATTTTTAAAAAATATATTAATGTAAAATCTGAATTTGTTCAAATTAAATTATATGAATTTATGAGTTGTATAAAATATTTGTATATTGAAAACCTAATATACTAATGTTTAATAAAACAATAATATTAAATAAAATAGAATTGAAAGAGTTTTTTATACATTTCTAAAACCGAACATTTTGTCTATTTTCAAACTTACCAACAGGTTTTTGAATGTGTGTATTTATTTTATTTATGTGTCGTCATTATAAGCCTATTATTTCTGCTTGAATTTGGACATTACAATTGACTTCAATAAGCATACACAATAAGAGCACCAGCTGCAGACTAAAGCTGCTTGAAATTTGAGCATAAGGCTTAATTGCAGATACAATTTGGTAAACTAGGCTAAAAACAAATAATTGTGCCTAAATGAAAATTGTCTGATTTAAAATTCATATTTCGTTTGAGTTATTACTTTCTGAGCAGCCTGCCGCTCCATTTATGGTATCCGTTTCGCTTTACTGGAATGCCATCAAGTGGAACGATTTGCAGCTCATTCATGTGCTCTAAAACACAAATCGTCATTGTTTCTCAACTCTTGACTCAAGCATATAAAGTATGAGTTTGTAAATTGGACAATTTTTGCTTCGCAAGTGTGCGGCACTTGTAACGCCTCCGTTTGCCTGCCCCTTGTGCTTTCGCGCCTTCACTTCACCCCCCAGCAGCTGTTGATGCTGTGCTGCTGCATAATCTTCGACAGAAGCAACTTGGCACTTTTGGCTAATGGCCATAATCTGCACTCATGGCATAATTTTCTGTTGTCTTGCACGCGTCGCTGGAATATTTTAGGTTGTGTATTTTGAAATTTGGCATCCCTGGCGCATAATGTCGTTCCTCGGCATTGCCGGCGAAAATCACATAAATACGCACGCAAACACTAAAGCACAAACACACTCACATACGAACACGAATTGGGTCACTAAGTCACTACTCGAAGTTGGTGCTGTGCCATCATTTGCCAAATGGTTGCCGACCGTCAGCTGAGCTCAGCTTTTAGTCTTAAATGGTAGCAATCCACACACAACAAAACATGCCTAAGTTCGTGTTGCCAATACTAATATGAATCAAGGCAGAGAGTCCTTGCTTATCCATATTCTCTACACTCTGAAAAAAATAGTGCTGAGGCCAAAAGGTAACTCAATCTTTTATTTAGAAAGTATATTTTTGAAACGAGTATATTTTATATTCAAAAACAGAGTTTTTCTTTTCTTAATTATATGGTAAATATTTCTAAAGTTCAAAATAAATATGTCACATTTTCATGATGACTTGACAAACGCAGCAGTCGAAAAGCAAAGGATTTTTCTGGGTTTGGATTTCTACTTTCTAGAAAAATTTAATTTGATTAAAAAAATTTTATGGAAAATATGGAAAAGCCCTTCTAAGTTTAAGCTTCTTCCTGCGTATATTTCGACTTTATTTTCAGAAAGAAAAACTTAGTTTTCAATGCGATTTTCTGAATTGCGGGCCGAATTTTTTTTCTTAGTGCACACAAAGATGAATTGCCGTTACTTTTTTATGACTTCAAATCAAAAAATACATATCGTAAATATCAGATAACCAGCTTCTTAAGATTACAATGCTGAAAAAAAAACATTTGTTACATATTCAATTCAAATCACACAAAATACAGTTACAGTCTACGAAATGAATATTTAAAGGCAAAAACGTTATCCAACTCTATCTGTATATTATTATTATTATAAGGAGTATTGTGATGAACTTTTGCAATAATTTAATAACTTGTACATATATATATATTTTGTGAGATTGTAAAAATGCAGATTGCCTGAGCAGCTAAATACATTTAAGGGACTCACCACATCGATGATTTGCATTAGTGTTAAGCCAAAACTCAGTTGCAATGGATCGGATTCGTTGACCACGGGTCGCTCCAAGCTGTTGTAGTTGTCCAGCAGGGCGTGCAGTAAACGCTTCTCGTGCGGTCCAGCTGAACAGGCTGTAAGAACAAAATATATATATATATAAGTTTATTTATTTTTGAAATACTCTCCTGTAAGGATGTGTGTGCATGCCACAAATACATAAGTCGCTGCCTAAAGTCAGCATGCAACAATGTTATGAGCCCAATAAGAAGCTTGAACTCAACCTCGAACTGTAACTCGCAACTCAATTCCATTTAATGAAAGTGTGGTGTGCTTTTGCTGTGTGTATGGGTGTGTGGTGGGTGTATGGGTGTGTGGGGAGTACAACGTTACAATGACTTTTCTGGGCTTAGAGTCAGGCAACCATGGCGGCAGTTAACCAGCATTAACGTATCGTTGTCATTGTTGCTGTCACTGTTGCTGCTTGCCCCTGCCACCTGCCACCTGGCTGCTGCTGCCAATTAAATTTGTTCAACCAATAAGTGGCATTGGTTTGGTTTGACGTTGCCAACAGTATTAGCCTGTGGCTGGGGCAGCCCAACAGCTTAAGCCACAGCCACAGCCACATCAGAAGCACATGCTTCTGCTTCTGCTTCTGCTTCTGTTTCTGTTTCTGCCTCTTCAGCTTTTAAGGGACGGCAACAGCTCCATGCCATGGCAGGGATTTGGTTGTCTTGTTTCTTCTTTAATTTTAAGTTTGTATTTTTTTGTTTTGTTGACCCAACCTCATGGCAGCAAGCAAGCATTTTCTGTATACACGTGCACAGATACGTTCGAGCTCAATTTATATTTTCATTTGTATCGCTATTGTGCTGTATTTATCTATTATCACTCAACAATCGCAATTTTCACCGAAGGAAGACAATGAAGAGCAGCGATTTCGCATGGATTTAATTCCCGGTCAGAGGACAGTTATGGAAAATTATTTTTCGACATTTTAAATGTTCTATCCATAGATATGCTCCTTGTGCAATGTCTGTCATCCTGTCTGTCCGTCAGAATTAGCAACACTTTGCTTATAGGCATGACTACGTCACATGAAATGCTACAGTTTGAGTGGCTTGCTAGAAATAATAATATTCTTAGAAGAGTTTGCTTTATATATGTTTTGACCTTGCAATCAATTGGTTAAGCTGATAAGAAGAACAATTCAAAGATACTTTTAAGTCTATATCAGTTTAAAATTTTAAGGACCTTTTGTAAATAGATGCGGAAAGAACACGCCAAGAATAACATTAATTTAAATATACTTTTCTCTGATATATTTCGAATCTCGTCTCCCTAAACGAATACCGATGGGACTCGAAATATATCAAAATAGATCGCTAGAGGAAACGAAAAAACATTTTTAAATTATAAACAGAGTTCATCAAAAAATAAACGATTATATTAATTCGATATTGTTCGATATTGATTTTCGATATTGATTTTTAGATTCTTACTTTAACTGCCAACGCCAACGTTCAAATGTCAGCCGTCGTCCTAAGAATTGTCTAAACCACAAATTTGTGCAAACAGTTTGGGCACTTTTGAGTTAAGCCGAGAGCCTTGAGTGGCAATTTGGAACAGCCACTGCATCAGGTCAGTTTGGACAATTAGGACAATTACTTATGGTCTAAAATGCAAACGTAGCAAACTCCACCGTCTTGCGGTGCACATTAAAGTACAATCAAGGAGTCGGCCAGTGCGGAACGTGCTCTCAACTGACCAAAGTTTGGACTGCAACAGCCAACAAAAGGAATCGAATCAAATCGATTGGAATGGAGTGGAGTGGAAGGTAAGGCAAGTGCTAAATAATTCATGGCATGCTTAAGGCACATTGCCAACTGTTGGAGCCCCATACACCAAACAAGTTTTGTTTATTGATGTGCCGAAAACTTTGCATCATTCTCAAGCATGTGGAACTTGAGCTGCAACAGCTGCCTGAGACAGGGAAAAGATCGAACTACTTCACAACTGCTCACACCTACCAATAATAATAGTCGCAGTAGTAGTTGAAGCAGTAGAAATAACAGATGTGTCAGCAAGTACACTTCATAACTATTTGCATCCCAGCCTGTACACTCTTTTTTCTTGGGCCAACAATCATAAGCTAAAAGTTTCCCCATTCAAAAGTTAAAAATGTACATAAATAAATACATTGGTGTTGTCCGCATATTGATAGATTTTTAATGGTTGCTATCCTACATATATGCACCAGAGACAAGAAATTTTATAGTTGCAGCTCCAGTGGCTCCAAACTGGAACGCTTATTGCATTAGCTTAGTGATAGATTTATATTTATTGGAGATCATGGTGACCATGGTATCCTAGAGTTAGTCTGAATATTATAAATTTTATGATTATAGTCATACAAAAATCACCCCAAAATGAAAATTTCCCTGAGAAAAAAGAGATCATAAGCGACTAGTTGACCTTGAATAGAAAACTTGGGAGAAACATGTCAATGAATATTATATATAACGCTTACTTTCTATCATATAACAGTCCTGGCTAACACACACTCAGGCACACATACATAACTGCGCAATCTGTTGGATTACAATTTGGGGGGCAATAAACTGGGAAAATCACATCACGTCGACCACGTTTTAATGTAGATTCTGGCTCATATGTCTACATACAGAATATGTGATTGGGTTGTTTGGCTATTGCTCCTCGAGGCGGAGGACGAGGAGGATAGGGAGGAGCTCTTACTAACCCAATCTAAGCAGGATTGAATACCCACTGCATTGTTGTTGGCTGCTCGTGAAATACATCAGCGATGGTCTCAGGGCCTTATTAATGAATGCATTAACGGGCTACGTGCGGCTTTGTCCCTTCAACTGACTGGGAGACACTCGAAGCCAGCTCGTTGGCCATTACAGCCACTAAAGTGCCGGCCATTAACGATTGCATGTCAGATGGCTGGTACAAGAGTGCCAAGAGCCTGAAGTAATTATGAGCAAAACAATTCCACCTACTGCGTTGACTTGCATGGCTGCATGGCAGCTGATGAAAAGGCAGCGGGCAACAGGCAACAGGCAACAAGAAAGTGCGCATTAACTTATAATGGCTAATTGCAATTAATTGCTCAATTAAGTGCCAACACTTGAGGTGGGCTCAAGGGTTGGCCTGGGTCGGGTTTGGGTTGTGGCACTTGCGTCTGCATGTCAAAAATTGACATGAAACAAATCTACGCGCATCTGCTGTGCATTTGTTTGGCCTAAACGTGGGTGGCCAAAAGGGGCTGGCTTATACACTGGCCAAAGCAGAGTGCCCTAGAGCTTGCGGCTGTTTGCCATAAATTATGCATGCGAAACACTCTGCGGCTACTTGGCCCCACTTGACAGTGGCAGTGGCAGTGGCAGTGGCAGTGGCAGTGGCAGTGGCAGTGGCAGTGGCAATGGCAGTGGCAATGGCAGCAGCATTGGTAGTGGCAGTGGCAATGCCAGCAGCAGTGGCAAGAGCGGCACTGGTACTGGCACTGGTCGTGGCAAGTGGCGTGTAGCGGGAAGCAAATGGCAAGTGGCAAAGGCAAATTAGTGCATTATCATGCAGGATTTGTTGCAATCGCAATACATTTGATTACCTATGGAATACGTTGAGTGCTTTTATTGTCTGTAACCAAAAAGCAAAACAAACAGCTGCAGTTATTTGGCGCTAAAATAAAATCTGCTTTGGCCAGCTAATTATGCGTTGAATATACAAACTGTAAATGTAACTGCAATTGCAAAGTTGCCCAAAGTTGGTTGGCGGGCAGAGCATTAAAATTGTGCGCGTTAATGGCCAAATTATACGAAATCATTTTCGGAATGCTATAAATGAGGCCGCAAGTTAATTCGACGGCGCTGCGAAAATAAAATGTAATGTCTTTTGGATGGCGCTTTAAATGAGCATCGAGCAGACACACACACACACAAACACACAAACACACACCACTTCATACACCCCACTGAGTGCCCCTTCATCCTCCCACGACACACGCTTCCATGCTGCTAGTCATGGCCGATAAGCTGCGGCCGTGCCACAAATTTAATCGAAATTGCTCTATGACTACATACACGCCCCCAGAATGCGCTCAATCTGTGTGTGTGTGCCTGTGTGTGTGTGTGTGTGTGTGTGTGCGTGTGTGTGCGTGTGTGTGTGTGTGCTAGCCTGCGTGTGTTTATCTTTTACGAGTATTTGGCCAGTCGTCGGGAAACATCGCCAAAGCATTGCGCAACTCCCCAAGAGGCCCCACATAATAATGTATGATGTACAGGTATATATGTATGTGTGTTTGCAAGTGTGTATGTACGTATATGTCTAAATAATTGTTATTATGTGTGGAAAATTACTTGCACGATGGAACAAGGTATATGAGCTAGAAAGAGCCCAATTACGTCTTTGATCGAATATATTAAGATAAATTAAATAACAATACGATTATCATATGTAAAACAAAACATAATTCATTAATTCAATACTTTAATTTATTTGTTAAGTCAATCAATTGGCATAAGGTTTCCGATACTCTTCGTTCCTTGTCGAACCTTTCAATACATTGATCAATGTTCAAAATAAAAATAATGTACGTGAAAAAAATAATAATAAGTGTAAGTAATTTTTCCCAATATCAAATTATAAGAAATGTGCGACAATTATAATTATATAATATTTATATATATATACTCTCTGTAAAACTGGTGCAAAACCACTTGCCTTTTTTCCTTATAAAAGCCATTTTAAATACATGTCAAATAAAAAAGGAATTAAGTTGGTAACATTAACAGAAAATTGCTTATTCAATGTTTTTTTAATAAACGAGCGAAAGTCGATTAAAAGCATTGCTGTTAAACTTAATTATGTGTCCAGCCTGCCGATTTGTTATAACTTCAAAAATGCGATTTGGCATCGATTTAACAACTTTATGGAAGTCAGGTAGTGGGATTTTGGATCATTCTTTAACGACAGCCTTTCGTTGTTGCTCAACTTGCACAAACTGTCGATGACCTTCATAAGCCTTCACTGCACAGGTTGCCCCACATGTCTCCTATGGGATCCAGGTCGCGTGATCTTACTCGCGATACCGAAACCACCTACGACAGACTAA